ACGAACTCGTAAACTTACGTAGTTTTACAACGTAATACTCTGAAATATTACAAAAATCGTAAATCTACGGAATATTATGCCGCATTTAAATTTCAGATGTAATATATTTAAATGTTTCTTTTATTTAATTATTATATTATTATTATATAGAAACAGAAAAATTTTAAAAATGATTGTTGACATATTTTTTATTAGGAGTGGATCATTAATAAGAAATTAATGAGTATTGTTAATATTGAGTAAGAGGCAGTTGGGAACAATAGTTTTTTTTAAACGTTCAAAAGCTGACTGAATCATTTTGTCTAGAGCAGTTTCATATTGTAGACATCTTTGGTAATTAAATTTGAAAAGTAAGAAAATCCTGATTCCAAGGATTTTTATATTATTTTTACCGCTTATTTGTTGTTTATGAATTTGCAATTGGGTTATATCTTTAGATTTTTCTGTACAATCCATCAATTCCTTTTTGCATTATCACTATTTTTTTGCATAATTTTTCTTTCACTTGAATGAATATTTTTCATATGCATCTTTATAAATGCTTTTGTTAGAAAATATTTTTCACATTTGAACATATAAGTTCATGATATAATTCAGATGAAATACTTGGACAATGCTTATCATAATTAGGAAGACAATCTCCAAAAAATTCTAGTATATATATCAAATTAAGAAAATGATCTCATCCTTGTATAATTAGGAAAAAAAACCATTGTTTAATTATAAAAGGTCAAAAGTATCAGTACAGTGAACTCTTGATATAACGAATTCTAGGATCTGGATATCAACTTCATTATAAGATTATAATGAATTTTTTAAAGAATTTAATTAGCTAGTTTACTATAGTAAGGTAATTTTAATATATTTGATTTAAAAATTCGCTATATCAAGGGTTCGCTATATCAAGGTTTGACTGTAGCTTATAGTGGTTTACAACAGCTCTGATCATCACATTTTCATAAATCAAAAAATATTTACAAATTTGCAAATGATGATCAATCCAATCTCATGTTCCTTTTTCTATATTTGAAAATATAGTATAATCATATTTTTCAACATATGTAACAACAACCGGTTGTTTATTAATAAGATCACGATTCTAAAGCTTACAGAGATATTTATCAGCATATTTAAAATTCCTATATCCAAGTTCTTCATTAATTATATAAACATATCCATTAATACTACAAAGATGATTTCCATAATTAAAAGCATTCAAAATAACACCTGTTAGTTTACTGGATAATGATGATATACTTCGTTCTATTGGATTATATGATAATTATTCTAATGCATAAGTTCGTATTATAAGATAATCTAATCAAGCTTTTTAAAAATAAGTAAAGTTAGATACCATAATTAAGAAGTTGCAACTCGGTAAGCTACAACTCCTTGTAAATTTATTTTAATATAAAAATTTATAAATAGTTACAACTCAAAGTATTGCAACTTAAGTTGCAACTAGTTAAAAATTTTAAAAATAATTATAGGAACTATCTTTAAAAATAAGCATATATTTCAAGATATTAGCAAGAAATCGAAGATTTTCATCAGATTCACTATCTGTTAATAAACACCATGTAGGTTTTACTAAATCTTCATAATATATAATTTCATGATAAGCTTTCTTTCCTATTATTTTCATAAGATCAATCATGTGTGTTTCACATGATATACCTAAAAATATTCAGGGCAAATAAAAATATGTAATTTACCAGACTTTAAGGTATTATTTGTATTGTTAGGATTAATTAATAATATGGATGGTATTAATTTATGCTTTGAGTCTACTGGAAAGTCATGATCAGGAATAGATATAGGTTTATTTAATGTTTGTATAGTTTTAAATGTCTTTCCAATAGTAGCAATATCTAACGGAATCTAATAATAATTTTAAATAAAAAAATAATAATAAATTTTAAATATATAAAATAAAGTTTAAATTTTTTTATTAAATCAACAAAACTTTTTTTTATAAAATTAATAGAACTATATAAATAATATAATAAAAATACTAATTAAATTCTATTACATAATAATATAACAAATTGAATTACAATATTTAATTATTATCACAGATTTTTAAAATTAAAGTTCACCTATCTTTATAATAAAAATTAACTTAATCTTATCATCTTGTAAAATTAAAATAACATTATCTGGAAAAGCCGATGCAAATAATTTTATACCTTTAACTAAAGCTAAGTAATAGTGTTTATCAACATAATCATACATTTTATTTTTGCTAATAGCCAATAAACGTATTTATGCAGGATAATGATGTCGAAGTGCTTCTTTTGATGCTGGATATTGAAGTTGTATATAATTTTGAACTGTAGATTTTACCATATACATATTATAATTTTCTTTCATTTTCTTTTAAAGGTACTTAATAGTTCGCACCTTAATTATTTCCTTATGTTGTTTATAATCTGCAGTACCAAATTCTATACATTTGTGCATTTTTTTTAAAGATTAGAATTATTCATTAAAAATGATGGATGCCCTGGTGTATTATAATTTTTTATAATATTTTCTTTTTTCAGCTTTTTTTTTTTTTCTTAAAATCTTTTTTGAGCTGCTGCATTACTTTTTAAACATGTAAATCTTTTTCTTCAATAATTATAGTTTTTTCTAATATTGATTTTTGAAGAAAATTGTGAACAGGTTTCTGATTTTGTTACTACTTGTAATAACTTATTATATTTATATACTTTGTTTTTAGCTTTTTGAATGGTATCAACTGATTGTTTTTATGTTAGTGTATTAATTGAAGCTTGAATATTTTTAGGAAAACTAGAAAGAATAACTGAAAATGCTAATAAAGGTTTAGTTGCAGATTTTTGTTGTAAAGGTGAAATTAAAATAAATGGAGAAGGTTAAATAGGCATTTTTAATAGATGTAAAATAAAGTTAGAAATAAAACCTTTATCTCTTTTTTTAACTTTACGCTAACTACTTTATACCTATAGTTAAAGTTCCTTTTTATTTGACACAACATTGTGACTCTCTACCATTTTAGAGAAAGCATAGGCATTTATATATTGTTTATAAGTATTTTGAGGCTTAAAAATAAAGTAATTTTTGGAATAATTTTGTTCACAAAAACAAGTTTGTTTCATATTAGTAAATTTACAATAAATTTACATTTTAAAATTGATAGGAGAAAAAAATTGTGAGAATTTTGAAATGGAACTAATTGAACTTCATTTATTATTGTTTTCATTATTCCTTATATTATTATAACATTATCAACGTCTTGTAATGCAATACGTGTTATTCATGTTGTTCATGCAATCATGTATATGCTAATTTATGACAGTAATTAAAGTTATCTAAAAGGAATTTGTGTAACTATCATCAAAAGGCTTCTGTCCCATTAAATGATATAATTTCTAACCCTTTCCTTACAATATGTTGCAACTTATAATATTGTAACATATATTATAACTAATTTTAGCTTATATTGCAACAATTTGTAAATTTGAAATTAATTGCTACATTATCTTTATTATCATCTAATTATTAACATTTTTTTTTATTATAAAAATAATTTATTATTATTAATTGGATTTAAATCAGATAAGTTTGATCAAATAAATAGCAAACCTATTATGATTTTAAATAAATTTATTGTATAGTTTTTTAGGATCTTAAATATCTCTCAAATATATCACATATATATGTTTTAGATTATTCCATTTTTAGAGGTTAAAAAATCAGTTTTTGCAATTATCATCTTACGATTCTGATCTTCAATTTGATCAATATACTTTATTTTATAGCTCAGAATGAGCTTATAAAAAATAAAAATAAAGATTTTAGCTAATTGGATTGATTTAAAGCAAAATCATATTGTAACCTATGTTTGAGATATTTGAGATCTTAGTATTGATCATAAAAATAAATAAAAAGTTAATTATCAAATAGCATGGATTTATATTTGGTTATAGTATAGTATAGTTGGAGTAGATATAATGCGATTTTTTCTAATTACATAAATATTTTAAAAAAAGATATTGTTGCTTAATTTCTGTATTACAGTCTCTTTATAGTTAACTCTTGGTTCTAATCATTTTTGTTCACTATAATGAGATTTTATTAAGAGTTCACTTTCGAGAGAAATTTATTATAAAAAATTGAATTGGTGAATTAAAAATAATTCACTTTACTATAACGGGGATTCATTAGAGCTTTGACTGTTATATAATCAAATAAATTTTTTTTTTTTACCAAAAATTTAAAATTTAACATACACATTATTTATTTTTTACTATAATATTTCTGGACTTTCTCAAAGAAATCAAGTTCTAAGAATCCCATATTTTATTTAACGAATTATAAAACTTTATTTACATTATCTAATATTTTAATATTTTTATCTTTTTTAACCTTTTATTATTTTTTTCCAAGATGCCAAATTTTGTCGATCTGCGTACCAAATCAAATTTTGATATTTCGTTATCTTTATTCCATATAGAATTCGGTATGAAGTTAGGCAGCTTTCAAAGGTTTAATACAACATTTATGAGAACAAAAACGCGTCAATTTTCAAGACGTTTTTGTGTTTTATCTTACAATGCTAATACTAAGAGTCCTACAGCTAAATTTTGTCTAAACAAATACGCGCATGCCACGGTACGGCCTTTTTTTTATCGCGTAAAAATACCCTATTCTTTTATCATTCGTTCAAAAAAAACCTTTACATTACCTATAAACAAACTGCCCAACATTTCAAAAACTCCGCAAAATATCGATGACTCGTATAAAGGACCTGAATGGGATAGTACAGTAGGTAAAGTAGTCAGGCTTGCGCAACTAAAATATCCGGACTGCGTTATTTTAACGCGTGTTGGTACTTTTTGGGAGGTAGATTTCAAAATTTAATATAAGTTTCACTTGTTTTAAATTTTATTTTTTTAAATTATTATTATCGCTTTTTTTTTATTCAAGCTATATTTCGAGCAAGCCACGAAAATTGCTCCACTTTTAAATATCAAGTTGACAAAAAAAAAATTTGGACAAGAATATATGCCTTTTGCAGGTTTTCCCCTTCAACATCTTGATAGATATCTTTCAACATTGGTCAATGATCATGGTCTTTCGGTAGCTCTTTGTGAAGAGTTTCTTAACGATGAAAATGATGAAAAAATTAAGTTTAAGCGTCGAGTTTCGCGTATTATTACTCCTGGAACACTTATTGATGAAAGTTTTTTACTACAAGATCAAAATAATTTTTTGCTTGCACTTTCATTGGATGAGAGGACAAATAATGTCGGATTAGCATGGATTGATATAACAACCGGCCAGATGTTCACTGCAATGAGTGGGCTAGATTCACTTTCTAATGTTTTGGCCCGTATTCGACCTAGCGAAATTGTTTTAAGTGAACAATTTAAAATTCTGAAAGATCATCCTATATGGATTCAGTTAAATCGTGAAAAATATGCCTTTGCATATGAATCAATTAAATCATTTTATACTCAACATTCGCAATCCGATTTGCATTGCGATGCAATTGAAGAAGTCTTTTCTGGCGTTGAAATTCAAGCTAATGCAGCTTTACATAATTATATTAGTAGAAATCTCATTGAAAGATTTCCTAAAATTCAACCTCCAATAAGAATAAATCCAGAAAATACAATGATTATTGATGAAACGGCCTTACGATCTTTAGAAATAATCATGTCAAATCGCAATAATTCTAAAAGAGGAAGTTTAATTCATGCTATTGAAAGAACAAAGACAAAATCCGGCACGAGAGCACTTGATCAATGGTTACGTAAGCGTAAATCTTTTTTATTTTAGATAAAGTAAAAACTTCAAACGGAGAAGCTAATATATATATATCTTTTTATTAGGCTTTCCAACAACATCTTTAAGCAAAATTAACAATCGGTTAGACATTGTTGAATATTTTTATTACAATACGCACCTCACTAGTGACATTAGACAAATGTTGGAAGATGTTGATGATGCTCAAAGAACTTCGCAGAAGATTTCTTTTGATTATTATGGACCTGACGATTTTCTTAAACTTAAACGAACATTTGAGGCTATGGGAACAATTAAAACGCGTCTAAAAGAGGAATTGAAAATTAAACCAAACTTAAGTTTAGAAGCACTCGTTGAGCGTTTAAAACCTCAAAATGAACTAATAAAAATAATAAAAGACGCTATAGACGAAGTTGCGTTAATAAGAGATAAAGAGACAACCGTTAAGACTGGATTAGCTATTAATGATTTTGATTCAGAGATTGAAGAAGTTGAACTTTCCGACAATGGAAATCAAATGGTGGAATTAAACAACGAAAAAAGGAATATTTTAACTATTAAAAAAAAGAGAAATACAATTAAAAAGAATAACAAAAATTCCACCGATTCAAATCTCGAAGAAGTGCAAGCACTCATCAAATCTGATAGTTGGATTATTAAGACAAAGTATATTGATTACTTTATTTTATACGTATAAGGGTGAATTCTAATAAATTATATATTTTTTTTTTAGTTTTTCAGAAGAAGTTACAAGTCTGCATAATCAACTTGAAGCTCGATACTTGGAAATGATAGAAATGCAAAATCGATGGCGAACTGAATTAAGTAAGAAATTTAGCAATAATAATACTTAATAATCAAATCGTTCCGAAATCATTTATTATTAATTATGATTTTTTTTTTATAGAATCACCATCATTAGAACTTCGAAAACATTCGAGTTTTGGCTTCATCGTAGCTGTTAAACGCAAAAATGATTGTAATTTGGAAAAATCTCTAAATGCAACACGTATCCAACATTTTAAATCTAAGAAATGGTTTATTGTTCAGGTAAATATATACTTCCGGAATCTTTTTACACGGGAATTGTGATAATGAAATTGTCTATTTCAGGCATGGACACATCTTGGGGGCAAAATCGAAGAAATAAAATCAAAGATTCACGAAGCAGAATCTAATGCTTTTCAATTCATTAGAACTAAGGTATAATATATACATATAATTATAACTATTATTATACAAGTTTATAATATACCTTTATTATAGATTTCTGATGATTGGGATTTGACGATTCGTAATACGAATGTAATCGATGAAATCGATATTGCTTCATCCTTGGCGGTATTAGCCAAAGAAAAAAATTTCGTTCGACCTATTCTAAATCATAGGTACGTAAGTTATATTTGCTTGTTTTATTTTTATGCTCATTTTACAATTTATGAATATTTTATGAGTTATTTCTTATAAGTAAATTTATTCACATAAAAAAAAATATATAGTAATACTCATAAAATTATGGGAGGCCGTCATCCAATTGTGGAATTTGGACTTCATATGAAAGAACGTCAATTTACAAAAAATGATTGTCAAGTTGGAGATAAAGAACGAGTTTTGTTAATAACTGGGTATTTGCTTTAATTCTCTTTTGAATCTTTTTATTTGAAACTATCATCATTTTAATGTACCTTAATGTTTATATTGAAGTCCAAATATGGGAGGAAAGAGTACATTTTTGAGGCAAAACGCGATTATATCAATATTGGCACAAATCGGTTCATTCGTTCCTGCCGACTATGCAGAAATTGGAATAGTGGATCAAATATTTAGTAGGGTATGTTTGTATATCATATATAATATATGTCTATGGTTATAATGATGATAATGATAATGATTTGATTTGATTTATTAGGTCGGTGCTTCTGATAATTTGTATCAGGATCAATCAACATTCATGATTGAAATGATTGAAGCTGCAAATATCCTTAAACATGCTACGAAAAGGTCATTTGTATGTATTTGTAATTTCATACATTTAATATCATTTTAGATTAAATAATATTTTAACAATTTATTAATTAAGGTAATTATGGATGAAATTGGTCGAGGAACAACGACTTTGGATGGAATCGCTATATCTTTTGCAACGTTATATCAATTGCATTATGTAAATAAATGTCGTACTTTGTTTGCAACACATCTTCACGAATTAGCAAATATGATAAAAAATTTTGAATATGCTGCTTGTTACTGTACCGATAGTCAGGAAAATGAGGTAATTCATAAGTTTTTTGTTTTCTTTTGATACTAAAAATAATTCTCTTCTAATTTTTATTATATTTAATAATTAGGATGGAAGTTTTCATTATCTTCATAGGGTAAAGAAAGGCGTAAATCGAAATTCAGTAGCAATCAAGGCCGCACAATTAGCAGGTATATGAGAGATTGTGAATATTCTAATTTGTAATAAAGTAATTTGCTAATTTAATATTTTATTCATTTAGGAATGCCAAATTCTGTATTGAATGTTGCAAGAAATACTTTGGAATATTTACAGGTTCATAATAAATTTTTAGATTTTGTAGATTTAGATACTAATAATATTCAGTCAGGTTCATTTTTTTTAAAAAAATTAATAATTAATTAATAAAAAATAATAAAAAATAAGTTGATTATAAAAAGACAAAAAAAAAAAATATCCTTATTGCCACGTCATTGCAGTCAATTAATAAATCTGTTCAACACAATATATTAAAATTTACATATCGTTCTCTTGTAATCACAATTACTAACAGTAAAGTTTTAAAATTTCAAATAAATTATAAATATTCTGCGTAATTTGTATCTATAAAATATGATAAATATAAATTCTAATACTACAATGTTTATACAATCAACAATAAAAATCTGACAAAAAAAAAAAAGTTCATAATATCCAATTCAAAAAAATTATAAATCCAACAAATCAAAAATATAATCTTTTACTAATGGATCGAATTTTTGGCCAAGACAAAATTTTAATTCTAACTATAGGCACTTTCCTATTTATTTCAATGTTTAAATAACATCGATCCTACTCTCTTTTTCCTTCGCTCACGGAAAAATTCTCTACGTTTATTAATATCTTTCTGCGATAATCCCTTACGACGACGAAAACATAGCTATTTAAAATAATAAATGAATTAGAATATACATAAAATGATATATTAAAAAAACCTTGTTATTATTTTTTACTTACATCTATCAGTTTATGACAGTCAAGCAAACTCTTTGGCATATTCTATGAGATTAAACATCAAAAGGTCAGTACTCTTAATCTTTTTTTTTTTTTTAAAAAAAAAAAATGTTAAAAAATTATTTTTACCTGAACCACCTGAAATATTTCCATCGGGTCGTTTACTGCCAAAATCTTTTCCTCATTTAATTTGAAAATTGATAAAGCTACACGAAACAACACTTTATTGCCTTCACTGTAAAAATGTTAAAATATTATTTAGTAATTAAAACTATAATATATATTATATATTAGTATATAATTCGATTATAATAAAATTATGCTTACTAAAATAAGCAATCCCAAACTCTCAATAATGTCTAATAATAATCATAATGATAATAATAAATTAAGTAAATATGCTATAATAATGATTAAATAAAATATTTGAAATACTTGCCTCAATTGGTAAAATGTTAATATATAATGTTAAAAACCAATGACTCGTCACAAGTGTAATTGTTGGCATATTCTTATCAAGTTTCTCTACGTCCCAACCAAATCCTCCGCTCAACTTATTCCATATTTGTGGCATCTTTTCCATTACGAACATCATAAGGACGGCTTGATCAACATTTGCGCCTTCCATTGTTACATCATACATATTTTCAGGTAAATAATCATGAATGATGGTCACCAGCATCCAAAAAGCTTGTTCCTCTTCCATAAAGAGTAAAAGAATTCCGGCCACATAATTAAGAGATTGACAATAACCAATGTTAGGTGAATATAATGAAAAGGCTGTAAGCACACGACGTAAAGATTGGATGATTGGAACATTATCGGTTGATATAACAGATGAACCTCCATCATTTGAAGCTACTGTCGATTTAAATTTAATGTTTTCAGGAAAAGTACGATGAAGATCTAATAATAAAGAAAATAATTAATATTAATTCGCCTCATACGTTATTAAATATAAATTTCTATTTATCCAACCTCTTTCAATAATTTCCACGTACTCATTTTCGTATTGTGGATTTTGTGCTTTAATCAATAGTTGTTGATAAAAATCCATATGTTCTCTCATTTTCGCTTCTGCACCACTATAATGAAACCACACCTATAACGTGTCATAATATTATATATATTTTTTTTTTTTTTTAAATTATTGATATCTGGTGGTGATAAAAAAAAATATTTATAATATATACCTTTCCTCGTAGCGATGGAGGTATACCTTTCCGTACATATCTTTTCACTTTAATTAATAATAATAATATACAATATGTTTAATATAGATTGAAATTTGCATTTATTTTATTACACTGTATTTTTTTACCGTGGATTAGCACTTTCTTTTTAAATTTTTCATCAGACAACTTGTATTAAAATATAACTCACTCTTTGAATTTCTGCCGGGTATAACACCGCCATTTTCTTCAATAGCAATATCCCATTTTTGTTTACGTCGATGTAGGACTTGTACATAAGATGACTCAAACTCAGTATATTCCTTTTTGGTAATCCATTGATATGATCTTCTAAAGCCATATTGATCCCTATTAAAATTTAAATTTAAAATTGTTTATATGCATAAGGTTGTAAGTTATTTCTTTTCATATTGCCTCCCAACCAATTTCATTATAACAAATAAATTCCAACTCAATGATGTCATATTGTTCATGCCTCTCTAAATTTGATTACTTATAGAAACGTATGTTACCTATCATCACAATCTTGCTGCTTTCGTACACGTTCACTGATGCTTGATCTAGATCGAATTGAATTTTGTCGAGAAGTTGACCTAACTGGTTGCTTCTGTTCATTTTTGTTGAGTTGTGACTGAGTTGAATTCTGTAAAGTTTTTTTGATTATGGTTGGCTTAATTGTATTTAATACATCTTCAAAACTGCTTGCAGAAGAGTGCCTTGTATGATAGTCATTATAATCTTCAAGGATACTACTTTCTGAAGGAGAGGGTGCACGATTTTCGGCACTATTTCTTTTCGTGTCCATAGGGACTGATAAATTACTAGAACTTTCGTCGGTTTGTATACCGGTAAGACTTTCTCTAGGTCTTACATTATTATATGAGCTAAAAACATATCCTGGACTTGGTGGTGTAGGGGAAAAAGATCCGGAGGCAGTATAATTGAATAACGAATTAAGTGGATTCGAATTTGAAGATAACAAATGAGAAGGGGGTGAAGGACAATCAAAAGAAGGTTGCCGTTTTAGGCTGCTTATACTACTATTATTACGAGGATGCAAATTAAGGGAAGGTCGTCTTTTCACAGTTTTTGCCGCGTGACTCCAAGTTGAACCGACAATATATGCTTTTTCTTCACCACGTGACGAATACTCGTCATATAATGAAGAATAATAAGAGTCTCTGGTGCTGGAGGTTTCGGCAAGCATTCACACTAACCTTATAAATTTTTTATTCTGTGAAATAGTTTATAGGAAAATATCTTTCGAAATTATAAAAAGAAATAGTATAAGAGCGAGTGATGGAGAAACTTCCTTTATTAAGTTTATGAAGGGCAAAGTAGGATAGTGTCCGACTATAGTTAGAATAAAGAAAAGCAACTAGAGTTGCAATAAAGATTGAAAAAGCCCAAGAAGGAAGGGAATGAAAAAAAACCAAATGAGTGACTTGTATGAAAAAAAAAAGAACTGTTAAAGAAAAATAGAAAATCCGTTTACAATAAATCTTTGGTCAAATTAGGTGTGGGGGTTGTTTGTTTGTGATCATTTTAGTATCCATAACTATTTTTTTATATATATTTCATATTCTGATTGATGCATATGCATATAATGCATATCATGTATATGCTGTGTTCATTCATTTTAGAACAATCTTTTTTTAAAAAAAAAAAAAATAATAAAAAAAAGTTATATACATGCGGGTGAATTATGATTTGTTGCTGGCTTTAGTGATTTTGAAATTTTTATTTATGGTAAATTCAATTATGTCAATTTTGTGATAATTTAAATAATCATATTTTGGGTGATTTTTCAAACATTAATTCAGATTGTTCTTATTTAGAAAGAAAATCCTCACACACGATAACAAAGAAAAAAAAAATAAAAATTCATGTGAAATGTCAGATTAAATAATAATGTATGAAATTTTTCAGATTGATTAATTAAAATTTTTTTTGTTTTTTTTTCTCTGAATTTGATTAATCTATCTTACATATTAAAAAAATTCTATGCTTCCAATTGAATTCCTACACCAAATCTTGCTGTGCTCTAACAGTGACCGTGATTCAATCCAAATAAAGCTTTCATTAATAGTTTGTCGAAATGATTAAATATTAATTCGTTTTATTGAAAAAAACTTACCTTCATGTGTTCGATATCGCCGGTGATAATAAAGCTGAATCCCGGGGCAATTTTTTGCTCTATGACGGCTGATACGCGTCCTGTTGTATCAATCTAATACGATATATTATGGTATAAGTTTTTATCTATAGAATCTTAAAAATGTGAAACACAATGATTTACTTACCTGGCCTCTGAAAGTAGCGGCTCGAAAATCGAATTTACCACCCTTGAAAATAATTCGAACAATTAGCATCGGCTTGGTTGGCTTCTTGACAAAGTGAGACTAACACCAGATCAGCTACATACTACTGTGCAAACCGCTTCTCTCCGGCCTGATGCGGCAAGTATTTGTAATTCTGTTCCAAAGTCTACTTTTTCGTTGATCTTTTGATAGTATGATGCTTGAAAAGCACCCATTTCTTGCCAATGCAAAGTTGCAATACAATCTTTCCCGGTATATTTTGCTACCAAAGATCTGGTGGTTTCTTCAATATCAGGAGTTGGCTTCTGATATACATTTTCAACTCCCAATGCTATTTTTTGTGTTACAGATTGAAAGTAACTGAGAATAAAAATCCCAGTATTTTCAACCGGCGAAGGATTAATAGTTTTACAATTTATAGAATAATCCGATCCCTGATAATCTTGTTCTAATTGAAGCATTGAATGCCCTGGTGATGGTGATATCTTGATAAGCAATATGACCCATTATGAGAAGCATGATAAGCAATTTAAAATATACCGATTTTTTTAAAAAAACTAATAGCTTTTAATATCTAAAAAAAAAAAAAAAAAAAAAAAAAAAATTCCTCACATGAGCCTGAAGTTTTGTTATATTATTTGCATTCCATGCATAATTCATGCGTGCGGTCAAGTTTCCTTCTGTATCAATAGTACCATGAAGAAAAGACTGATGATATTATAATTATAATCACAATAAGAATGGATTATATATATAATAAAAAAATATATTTTATATGCAAAATTAAAAATTTTAATTCTCACTTTAATACCAATGAAAGCAGCCCCAAAATTATACATTGGAGGAGATATTGTTGAACCCATCGAGAACGAATGGGTCACTTGAAGATGTTGCGATAGAACCTTTGTAACGTCAGCTCTACCTCCATCAAACAAGTGATTCGTCAGAAAAGTGGCTGCATATAAAGGAAAAAAAAAATTAAAAAATTTTTTCTCTTCGAAAAAGTGTTACTAATGGACACGCGTATTCCCTAATTCCAGAACGCGATCTTAAAATATATGTGACAACCAATTATTTATTTAATACATATTATTTTCATTGCCTTAAAATTGGAGCTTTTATTCGTACCTTTAACCTCTTTATGGAGACCTTCAAAAGTGCCCGGATTGGGCAAGTTAAGTTTCTTTCTATACTCTGATATTCCATTCAGGATAGAACTAAAACTCCACGGTGTATTCGTAGGTGTTGTTGTTATTGTTGAAACTTTTTCACCCAAGCCGGTCATATTGTGCACTTTGAGAAATGGTCAACGCGTTTTTTTCTTTCTTTTTTTTTTTTTTTTTTCAAAGAAAAAGGCCTAAAAGAAAATTAATGTAAAAATTTATAGATAAAAAAAGATAAAAAAAAAATTTTTTTTTTGATCGTTGTACAACCAAATTATGCTAGCATGACAAATCACATTGAGATACTGTACAATATTTAAGGATAATCATTAGAAATTTTGTTTTATATTATGTGATTTTATATGATTTATTATCATTTAATAAAAAAAAAAAAATTTAATTATCTTGACTATTAAATAAATTGACTACTGTTAAAAATTTCAAGAGTATTATATAAATCAAAATAATGTAATTGTAGCAACACATCCGTTTTTCATTTCCTAAAATAACCGCAAAACCATAAAATTGTTAACGAATTTTTTAAATAAAAATATTTTATAAGTTTAATTAAGCGCATACTTCAAATACAACTCCATCGTATCCGCTTAATTTTGTAGGACCAAACGGATTTTGTCCACCTGCTCCCCGGTTAAAGATTAAAGGCTGACCAGAAGGATTACCTAACAGTTTTCGAATTTGGTCCATCTTAAAAATTAAAAAATTAATATATATATCACATTTTCAACACACTCGTTACTCCTTAATCTTCAGACTTACCTTCATTTCTGAAGTAACAATATTATCCACAGTTTGTGGAGATTGTGATGTCGATTGATTATCATCATCTTCAAGAACTTCTAGTCTAGCAACTGATATGGATAATAACATAAAAACGTTAATAACCCAAAAAATAAAAATAAATTTGGACTGCAAGAATTAAATTAGCAGTTATAAAAAAAAACCTTCATTAGAAATCTGTGAATTAGATGAAACCTTAGGTAATAATATCTTATAAGGACATCGTTTATACCTATATTTGTATTACGCAGAAGTAACAATTAAATCCCTGTTTATAAGATCATGAAAATATTTTATATCATACCTTTGGAAATCAAAATGACCAGGTACATTTCCATGCAATACGATTTTTTTACAACGATGAGTAGAGCCATCGAAGAGCACATCAAAACCAAGATGAAAATAGTTGTAGAAATAATCAATAGCGTCTTCGATAGAAAAGAGATTTTAATAAAAAAATTTTTCGGTATGGTTATAACTTAGGACCAAAGGAAAATACCTCCTCCTCGAGAGCAATCTTCGACATTTGGTGAGGAATTCAAATTTCCGTTTTCACCACTTTCAACCGTATCATTGGCACTGCTATATTCTGAGTGTATCCGCATCTTATCTTCTTCTTTGTAGAATATCCTAAGCGGTGATCCTAAATCGACCAAGAGATCCTGAGGTGTAGTAACATTGAGAACGATTTCTGTGGAGACATTATTTAAAAAATTGACTATAATTCCACGTTTTAACTATAGTAATAGTTATTGATTCAATATTTTATAACCACTTTCATATCACAAAATATTTAAAATCGTGACAAAAAAAAATATTAACTTTTTCATACTTCTGCCACGACACTCTCAAATTCTCCAAATTCTATTAAACCGCCCCCAATACCATCTGAATTCTTACTCCTGTGTAATGGTGGCGCAATTGCATTTTGAAAACTGGATCCGTGAAAAGTATATAAACGAGATAATAAAGGAGAAGTTCCATCAGGAAGTTCCATAGGAAGATCTGTCATACCAGAAGAGGAAGTATAGAAGGATATATGCTCCTCAGGTATAGGGAAAACAAACGAAATACCCTATTAAGTGTAAAAATTGTGTATTTTATTTTTGTTATTTTAATGTAATTCTATTACCTACTGGATAATTTAGTGTGTATTCTTTTTTTTTACTATCAAGCTCTCCTGGGTAAGTGGGACTATATAGTTGGATTAAAATAAATCAATAAAAATTATCCGAAATAGTATTTATAAAGGTCTTTCTTAAAGCGGTTAAATTAATAATTACCCAAAAATTTTATAGATTGAAAGAAAAGTTGGTGTAACTTTGATCGAACTAAAGAATTAGGTTATAAATAATCATATTTAAATTTTTAAATTCAAACAATTAAAAAATTTAAATGCTTATATACCTAACTTCACTATCATGATATGTTAATCTCAATTTCGAAAAATCAGAAACTTGAATTGATTTAAGTCGTTGAGATGCGCTATCAAATCTCATGTGAATTCCATTAGCTGTTAAAGATAGGAATATGTCTGTTGATATTGGCGCCTATAAAAATAGTGATAGTAAAAAAGTACTCCAAAAAGCTCAGTATGTTTTAACATAATTGACATACCTCTTCGTCATATTTTAAATCCACAGAAGGAATAATACGAGATTGTTCCCTTATAAAGTTATTTATGTCCCAAATTGACGTACCTAAAAGATATTGTATTAAAAAAACGTATTATTTGTGAATCTACATAAAGTTGGCGTACCTAAACGAAACCATCCCAGACTTTTTCCTGGCACAATAGACAGATCAAGTCTTTGTGGCTCACGACGATTCTGAGAATCTTGTAAATTGAACATTGACAAAGTTTATCAAAAATTATAATACAAGATTTCATTACATAATTCTTAAATAGTAAAAATCACAAATTCAGTTGCACAACATATTTAATAAGGTAACGGAATAAATAGATAAAATCAAATGTCATTTTTTTAAATTGTGTAACATTCAATGTCAATCGATTTTTTTCAAAACCTAATTTATCGTTACGCAGGTTTTTTTACAGCTCTTGGATATAGGTCGAATGATCAATGCCTTTAACACGCATATTTTTACTTTAGTTCAGTAGATGATTTTGAAGCAGCTATCAGCAATGAAATCTTACAATCAATAAAAAACACATGACATGGATCAAAACTGATTCTAAACTTTGCGAAATATGCTTCACAAAGTTAATGATTGCCCCAGGAAGCGTAAAGCACTTTCTGATCATAATGTACAACAACGTTACTAATGTTTTCAACCATCATAATATAACAACTACAAAGAAACTCCTAAACTTTTAAAAGTGCAATCAATCCAAATATTACTTTGTTAATGTAACAAAAGGTCCCAAGATCAAACAACTCTTACTAATCATAATCACCCTGATACACATTAAACTCCAAATAAAAAACCATCAATACAAATCTTAAAAAAAGAACGAATTCTTCAATCCTCCTTCTAACTCATAGTCTGATGACATCCTTGATTCAATGAACAACAGAATTTTTGATTAAACAGTTTATTTCACTCCTTCAGAGTAACTTACTAATGATATGAAAAAGGTGGTTTTATGCACGCTACTACTGATAATAATTTTAAGTCAGTTGTTAAGAACGTGACAAAAAAAAAATGAAAATGAAAACAAAAACAAAATAAACTAAAAAAACCTCATATCTCGATAATTGATCCACATAAAAAATAAAAATAATTAAAAAAAGGTTTCTGAAAAATCAACCCGAACTATACTATATAAAAAAAAAATAATTAAGTCAAATTAAGTCATAAAATAGATCAGAATCATTAAACAAAAATGCCAATACCTAGTTCCGATTAAAATTATGATCAAAAATCATTTCTCCATAAAATAAATTCGATTAGAATCGATTAATCGAAATCGAAATCGAATCTTATAATCGAATCTTGAGATTCGATTAATCGCGATTAATCGATTCTTTAATCAATTCTACTTTTTAGAATCGATTCCTATCCCTACCATCGAGGCTCCAAAACGTTGTTTCATTGTGGACCATGGTTGTATTAACAATGCCATATATACAGCCTGTAATCGAGCACGATACATGAATCAAATGATTCGAGTTAAACTACCAGATGGCGTCATTGTATAGGCAACTCCTTGTCCCCAAATTATTGAGGCAAAATTGAGACTTTATAGGCTAGATGATTGAAAAAAGGAAGCGGAGCTTTCCAAGACCGCTTATGATAGTTGAGGATTGGGAGGTTGAAGATAAAACTGGTATAATAGAAGATTTTAAAGTATATGAAAACCAAGCAGATTATGATGAGAAAAAGGCGTCATCCACAATCATTTTCGATTTATCGGATATGTGACATTAACTTCAGAATCTGTATGAAAGACATCGACGTTAAGAAAGTTGAAAAAAGAAATTGCTATGGTGGACAAGCTCTCCCCGAAGTGCCAATAGACCAGTAAACTTCTCCATAAGCCAGTCTACTGATGCAATGCTTACATAATTATTTTTTTTTCCGGTGAGACATTCAGTTATTTTTTCTGCATCATTCCGGCGCAAGACAAGGGGTAAGTTTTCCACTAATCCCACGCAGTACATGCCACTATGTAAAACAGCCAAATATGAGCACATATATGATCACTGTCAAAAATAATAGACAAGATAGAGTTGTAAGCGGATCAAACTAGTCCGGAGTAGTGATTATCAGCCTTATTTTTTCGATTAAAAAATCCTCTGACAGAATTAATAAAGGAGGTCAGGGATTTTCAATTTGGGAAATTGGTTCAAGGCAATGATACGATATAAGACTTTTATTCGAAAGTAAAAAAGTGTAACAAAAGCATAGGCTATTCCTCCATGGATTATCACCTGAGAATCTGATAGAAGGCATAATATATGGGTTAGACCTATTAGCATTAGATGAGATGGTCGAAATGTTTAGTTCAATAAAAAAGGGAAAAGAATTAGGGATCGATATTATGTCCGCACATAAATATTATGTTATCGGCACTTTATTGATAATCAGGATTTATGCATTAGTTCTCTAACCAGATCAAGGCCATTCCGGAGTGCAATAATTAACCCATTTTTCTTCTTCTAGTTACATATATAATTGTGATTATTATTTATTATGAGTGAATATGCATAATAAATTTATTCGCCAAAATAAGTAACAGTATATACAGAAAAAAAAGATAAGCTATGACGTATCTAAACTAGTCAAGATTAGCTAAGTAAATTATTATTTAAGCTAGAAAGTTAATGATGAGAAAATACTTTCATTTTTATATGTTCCAAATTTCAAGAGCGTTAAAGAGTTTTAGTAATGGTTCTTTAAAGAAACCGATTTCTTCAGGAAATATCTGAAGTCTTTGTTTTGCATGTTCCTGAGTTTCATTCCCATGAAACTCCTGATTGCTTCGAACTTTCAATAATATCAACAGTTCGAAGTCTTTGAGTGTCATATTAACCCCTCTTAAACCCTCTTTCAACTTTGAAATATATTTTAATTCCGAATCGGCGTAGTTTACCTTGCCTCCCCTAACTTTCTTGTAAACAGCACACTGCACTTTGAACCAATCAGCGTCTAACTCCTTTCGTACTACATTTTTGAAATACGTAATCCAATCACGATATCCACTTAGTGCTTTACTATTTTCCACCTTTTTTAATAATTTATCCGAGAGAGTCAAAAGATCCAGATCCTCCGTTCTGTTGTTTCATCATATCAGTTACATGTTTTGTGTTATCGTATAGCTCACCAAGGTTGCTTGTAATTAAGTTGCTGTCATCAATGTTCTCCACCATTTTAGTTACAAGTTTTTCATTCTCGCAACATATATTTATAAAGGATACGATGATGTTAGAGTTTTTAATTCTTAAGGTATTAAACTCGAGCTTTGCAGTCTCAACCTTTTTGAGAAACTAAGTTTTGAGAAACTTTGAAAGTTTGAGGGTAAATAAATACTTTACTAGATTGGAGGTCGCCTGTTCAATTCAATTTTTGCTGTAATAAATCTACATTCCCTTCTAATCATCCTGTCAATCATTGCAGATCTTAAACTTTTATCCATCCTAATAGTCAGAGGCACATTTATTATTAAAAAAATAAAAAAAAATTTATTTTTTTTAAAAATAAGTCGGGTGATTTTTTTTGGTTTTTTTATCTGTTTTCTTTATTTTTTCTTTATTTCTTTAAGAATATATTAAGGTAAGTAAATCAATCAGTGGTGACTTTATAGGTGGATTTTTTATAATTTTCCTTTCTTTTTTCTTGTATTTTAGGAAAATTATTATTTTAGAATTAAGATAAGTAAAACAGAAATAACTTTTATTTGGATTATTAACCTTTTTCTTTATTTTTCTTTGTATTCTTTAGAAATACATTATAATAAGTCAATCAAATGTGGTTTTAAGAAAGAATTTTAACTTATTTCTTTATTTTACTTTATTTTTTTATAAATAAATCTTATATGGGTCAATTGAAGGTAGTAAAGATAATAAATAGCCTTTATAAATAAATATGTTGTAACATATCACTGTTATAATATATATAGTCAAACCTTGATATAGCGAACCCTTGATATAACGAATTTTTAAATCAAATATATTAAAATTATCTTACTATAGTGAACTAGCCAATTAAATTCTTTAATTATAAGCTTATAATGAAGTTGATATACAGATCCTAGAATTCGTTATATCAATATTACAATATAGTTGCAATATTTGAAAATTTTATTAATTTATTACAATATGATTGGTTACAATATTTATTTGATTGGAAAAATATTATTTCATCAAATGATAAATGATTCATTTAATTAGAAAGATCCAAAATATTATTTCATCAAACGATTTAAGCATTATTTAATTAGAACGATTAAAATATCATTCCATCAAATGTTAAATAAATCATTCAATTAGAATGATTAAAATATAGTTCTATCAAATAATAATGAATCATTCGATTAAAATGATCAAATATCATTCCATTGAATGATAAATGAATTGTTCAATTAGAATGATCCAAAATATTATTCTATCGAATAATAGACGAATCATTTAATTAGAATGATTAAAAATATCATTCTATCAAATGATAAATAAATTATTTAATTAGAATGATCAAAAATATTATTCCATTAAATGATAAAAATCGTTCGATTAGAACAATCAAAATATTATTCCATCAAACGAAAATGAATCATTCAGTTAGAATAATCAAAATATCATTTCATCAAATGATAAATAAATTGTTTAATAGAATAATTTAAAATATTGTTCCATTGAATGATAAATGAATCATTCAATTAGAACGATCAAAATATTGTTCCATCAAATGATAAATAAATTATTTTATAGAACGATCCAAAATATTATTCTATCAAATAATAAATAAATCATTTGATAGAATGATCCAAAATATCATTCTATTAAACGATAAATAAATCATTTAATTGGAATGATCAAAATATCATTTTATCAATGATAAAATGAATCATTTTATGAAAAGATCCAAAATATTATTCCATCAAACAATGAATGAACTACTTTGATAGAACAATCCAAAATATTATTCCATCAAATGATAAACAAATTATTCGATTGAAATGATCAAAATATCGTTCTATCAAATAATAAATGAATTATTTGATAGAGTAATCCAAAAATTGTTCTATCAAACGATAAATGAATCATTCAATTAGAATGATCAAAATATCATTTCATTAAATGATTTAAGTATCGTTTAATTGGAATAATCAAAATATCATTTCATCAAATGATTTAAGCATCATTTAATAGAATGATCATAAATATCATTCCAATCAAACAATTTAAACATCATTTTAATGAAATGATCATAAATATCATTCCATCAAACAATAAATAAATATTTGATTAGAATGATCTAAAATATCATTCTATTAAATAATAAACAAATTGTTTGATTGGATCATTTGATTAGAACGATCTCATCAACTAAATCACAATTAAATTATAAACTTTAATCACAAATCAAATAATCAAATGTATTATAACAAATTTAATTATAGTTAATTATAGAATTAGTCATATATTAATAATATAATCAATTAAACAATTCAATTTTCATTATAAATTTAATCACAATTAATCACAACTTTGTTATATATTTAATTGATTTTTCTTTTTTGATACATATAGAATTTAATTTTCTTTAAAAAAATAAAGAAATTTTATTTTAAAATCAAAATTTAATAAGTTTTACTAGTAACAAATATTTCTTTAAATTAAAAATGATACTGTAATTAAAAAGTTGCAACTTAAAATTATAATTATTAATTGCAACATTTTAAAAAATTACACTAAAGTTGCAACTAAATAAAAGTTGCAACTATTATGGTAGTTGCAACTATTATAATAATTGCAACTGTTATAATAGGTACAACTGTTATAATAGTTGCAATTTTAATATAATTAAAACTGTAAAGATGTATACCGTAATTGTAAGAATTGCAACATTTAATTTTATTATAATTAAACCTTTTATTATAAATGTATATTTATTTATTTATTTTTGATGTGTATAAATGTATATATATATTTTTTTTGACAATAAACTAATTAATGTTAAAGTAATACAGATTTACCTATAAAATTAAATAAAATACCAGTTCAGGACTAGCAAAACAAAATATTATTCATGTAACAATTATTTATATATATATATATTAGATTGAAACCTTTGAAAGTAAAAAATTTAATACCGGGAAGGAAAGGGAAGGAAATGGAGGGTACAGAAAAGATAAGTTAAAAAAAAAACTAAAAAAAATTTTATAATTAAAAAAAAACTTACCGTTAGTTATGATGAAAATCAGCAATTTCGAGAATCAAAGGCGAGTTTCTAAAAGGGAATTGGGGGAAAAAAAAATATTAGAAAAGGAAAGAAAAAAAAAATTTAAAATAAATTAAAAATAAAATAAAAAAGCTTACCTTTCTTTCTTTTGTAGATAACGAAAAATGAAGGATCAGTGAGTTTCTAAAGAGGAATCGGAGAAAGAGATGAAAAAGAAATTAGGAGGGAAAAAAAAAGAAAAAAAAATTTTTAATTAAAACAAATTTATCATCCATTTACCTTTTGTAGATAACGAAAATGATGATCAAAGATCGAAAGTGAGTTTCTAAAAGGAAATCAGGGGGGGAGGGGAAAAAAAAAAAAAAAAAAAAAAATGATATTAGAAAAAAAATTAAAATAAAAAAATTAAAATAAAAAAAAAACTTAACATTTTTCTTTCTTTTGTAGATAACGGAAACGATGATCAAAGGTGAGTTTCTAAAGGGAATCAAGGGGATTAGAAAATAAAATGAAAAAAAAAACTAAATTAAAATAAAAAAAAAACTTACCATTCTTTTCTTTTGTAAATAACAGAAACGATGATTGAAGGTGGGTTTTTAAAAGGAATCGGTAGGATTAGAAAAAGAAAAAAAAAAACAAAATTAAAATAAAAAACTAACTTACCATTTCTTTCTTTTATAAATAACAGAAACGATGATCGAAGGTGAGTTTCTAAAGGGAATCAGAGGGGATTAGAAAAAGAAAAAAAAATTAAAATAAAAAAAAACTAACTTACCATTTCTTTCTTTTGTAGATAATGGAAATGATAATCGAAAGTGAGTTTCTAAAAGGGAATCGGTGGGAATTAGAAAAAAGAAGGAAAAAAAAACAAAATTAAAATAAAAAAAACTTAATATTTTCTTTCTTTTGTAGATAACAGAAACGAAGACAAGTTCTATTCAGGAAATCGGGAGGATTAGAAAAAAATTAAAAAGTTGTAATTAAAAACAAAAACTTACCATTATTCTTTTTTTTTTTTTGTAGATGACAGAAATGATGAATGAAAACAAGTTCTAAGAGGGAAGGAAAAAGGAAGGTTAAAAAAAAAGAAAAAATTCAAAAACTTTAAATAAAAAAAATATTAAACAAAAATTATAGTGAAACTCAAATAAATTTTGATAAATTCATAATTTTAAGCAATATTTGAAGTAAAATTTTCGCAATTATTTACATAATTATTTTAAATATAATTACATAATATCATGTATAATTTTATATATTTACAAATAAATGTTTAAATTTGATAAATGAATAAAATTTGAATGTGTTTTATTAAA